TACATGCATACATACATACACATACAGAGACATATTTCCAGGGGCGATGGTGTAGAGGCATGTTCGTTTGTGTGTCAGCACACGGGGTGTGGTCGAGGTATTTGCACATTCGGGATGCTGTGGAGGGCGGAGGCATGCGAGGGAGCGAGATGAGTGTGCCGGATTGGCATGCCGTGAGTTTGAGGGTTCCCCAGGCAGTTTGGTACACACGTGTAGAAACTGTTGGGCATTTTCGTCCTGAGTGAAGAAACTGCCTACTGTCTCCGTGAGGCGATCCCGATTCGCATGCAGAATATTCCGTGCTCCTGCTTTGGCTTGGTAGCTTGAACCCATGTCCCATTGTTTACACAGTCCCGTTGCCGCCGCGTCCTCCGGAAAGGGCGATTCTTTGTAAATTGCTAAAAACATTGGCCTCATTTCGGACTTCCAACGGTTTGGGTCTGATCAATGCATGGGGGAGAGCATTTTGGCCGTGGTCCGTATTTCCGCCAGTCACCTCGGATTGCGGCATTACATGGTTGAAGCATCCCCAGTGTGGGGGCAGGGCGGCCCGTTTTGGCCGTGATGCTTCGAGTGGTTTCTAGACCGTCTGCCGGTGGTCTGAGGCCGGAAGACCTGGGGATCTACTGTCACATAATGTTAGAGGGATAAAGGCGAGATAAGCCTGCCATCCAATGCTTCAGCTGTGCCTTCCGACAAGCCCTACTCGTAGGTTTTGAGAGCACGGCGCAGCTTGATTTCCGACTGTAGCGGGATTGCAGTCGAGCCTGGTCTGGGAGTCAAGAATCGTTGTTCCCAGACACGTAGTCAGTTTAGTGCAACGTTGAAGAAGAACAAAAATTGCCAGTGCCAATGGGCCACCTGGGAGTGTATTCCGGCATCCCTGGTATGTTTGAAAGATTGGAGGAGCAAGGATGATTCGGGGAATGGTTCGCGTGTTTCCGCTCAAGCCGCACATTTTTTCGTGATAATCACAGTTGCGGCAACTTCCACTGTCATAGCACTGCTTTTTGGTAATGTTGTTATGCCCGCTCTTGTATCGTTACTTCAGCGTTCCTTTACTTTTGGAACCGCTATGGAACCATGACACCCAGCTTGCCATAGATGTTCCCAGGTTGGGTCATTTTTCCCATGACGAGCTTAGCCCACAGACTGCTGGGAGGCAAGGCAAGGGTGCATTGAAAACTTGGCAGTTCCGATTGCACCAGTTTGGTAACCTTATAGCACTTACGATACCTGCCTACTACCTTTATAGCAACCTTACATTAACGTCATTAACGATCCCATCTCCTAGAAAGAGATGACAACACAACGCGAAGCAAGAGTTGTTGGTGCTGCTGACTTGCAGATGTCGACCCCGTCTCCCCTTGAAGGCAAGCTTGCCACCGACCTCCAGGACTTTGACTTGCGGAAGCGGCCCAGAAGCACTTCATAGGAGACCCTAAACTTGTATGTATAAATCCAAGCCCTGTGGATGTGTTGTCTTCTCTTGCTCTTTTTCGGCGCCCGTTGGTCCTCGCAAGATCTCTTGAGATGAGGCGATCCATCAGCATAGGCAGCAACTTGGGACATGTGGTGAAAGATGCGGCGTCCTTACGCTCGGAGAGCAAGCTCTTGGGCAGTTGCGCCGGGGGATGCTTTCGGTACTGTCTACAGTGAGCTTGAAGAGAGGAGCCCTTCTTGTGAGGACCGAGTCTGTCAGACCAAAACAGCCTTGTGTCCAGGTCTACTATTGGGAGCCCAAGTCGTTGCGAATTCGGACTCCTGGCTGGATATTGACAGACTGTTTGAAGCAAGTGTCTCGCTTTGGGATCCTTGGTTTATGGGTTCATGGATGCCGGCTTGAAACAGCCCCCCATGTTGCCTCTAGCTTCTAAGGACCATCAACTGGTCCTATGTTTTCTTGGCAGAGTACTTGCCATATGCATACGGGTTTTCCATTGCCGCTGCCGCTTGGACGCACGGGAGGCTGGAAGTCATCAAATCTCTTGCAGGTGGATGCATCGAGTCAGTTCTGACAATGTCTTCCGATGAAAGCGGCGGTCACTTCCGGCGACCGAAATGATCAGCGGTGATGGGGATGAGTATGCTGATGCTCATGACGATGCTTATGTCGGTTGTTGTGGCTCTGATAGACAATAGATAGTTTGTTGGCGATGTCATGCTGGACAGCACGAATGACCGAGGTTGGCGTTCTCCTGGCCTACCGGCTGTACATGTGGCGCTTGGATGAGTTGATGCGAATTTGGTCGCTGCTTCAGGACCCACTGATGATGCAGGCCAGCTTTTGAGTAAAGATCGTGTCTGTACCTTTGGGTGCGGGCTTCAGCACTGCATGACTTCTGAAACTGGCTCTGTACGTAAGCTTGGCGCTTGGGTTCTGCAACATGGGGCTGCAAAGACCATCTTCGCAGGAGGATAGAGGATCGCCAGCAGCAGCGATTGAATGAGCCTGTCCTGCCTCGTGCCTTGCGGCTTCGTAGAATCTGGGAGGTGATCGGCGCAGCAGCGTTAATCGTTGCTTATGCCAGCCAGCACAAGTCGTCCATCTACTGCAGACTCCTCAGAAGTTCAGAAGTGAGCGCTAGTCTGCAGCGCTGCGGTTGACCATGGACCGGAGATTTGCAGGCTTGGAGAACATTGTTTTCAAGCCACCAGAGGAGTGGCAGGCAGGGTACCCTCTCAAACGAAGCAGAGAATGGAAAGATCAACCGACGCGGCAGTCACCACGGCCAGTTGGCTGCTTTGCGTCTGCCTGCAGGTGAGCAGAGAAGAAGTGCTGACAATGATGCGGGCGCAGGGCTGTTTCAACGAATCTCGCCATAACCTGAATATTTTGTCCCTGAAGCTTCAGCTCGTGGTTTCTGCTTTTTGCCATTCCGTACGTCGTGAAGTCGGAGCATGCTTCGCGTCGCTCTGTGCATGCGCAAGCTATGGCAGCTAGGGGTGCCGGAACTCAGGACAGCTCCATGGAGTTCCAGGAGCGCATTCTGGACAACTCTGGCACAGGCAAGCAAGGATCTATTCAAGCCTTCACAAGGTTCTTCTGGCGGGTAGCATCGGGCGGCAGTGTGTCAATCGTAATAATTAGGGAGGGCGTTGTTTGTGTTTTTTCCATGCATGCTAACGGGAAAGACATGGGAAAGCCTACAGCACTTACTAAGCTTTCAATCATAGGAAAGCTTGCAAGAATCGGTCAGCGCTTTCGGATTCAGTGGGGAAGGTGAGGTTTTCCGTCTCGTTGCCTGGTGGGCAAACCGCAAGTATTGGATTGTTGTCCATGAACTGCCGCTTCACCGAAGCAGGCGAGTCGACCCACTGGCCGCCAGGCGCGAGCGGACAAGTATAGGGAATAATTCGGTGCTTCCCCCAAACCCTAAATCCTCACATTTGTTTTTTTTGTATCGCTGGCCTTACCTGGCAGTGTACTGGGTGACACGTGCCGAGTACGACGTTCATGACTCGTTGAACCAGACTCGCTACAGTCCTTGCCAGGCTTGTTCGAGGGTGAGTGTCAAAAAACCCTTGAGCTCCACTCACTCGAGTCGATTAGTTGCACTTCAATCAGACCTCGAACCATTTGCTTCGTCTGGAGTGTCCGAGTGTGAGCGCCGAAACCTTGAACCCTAATTATAAACCCTAAACGCCCTAAACCCTACACCGCCTGTTGAGCTGACGTTGGCGATTCGCGTATCAGGCAGTCTACGATCCAAGGATGGCATGACCAAGGCCGAGAAGGGTTTAACCAAGCTCTAAACGATAGACTCAGGTCGATTGGGTCTTTGTTTTGACGGATAAAGGAGTCAGAAAGAGAGAGTCAATCGACCCGAAATCGATCTGTGGCTGCGGCTGTAATGTGCTCGTAGTGCGTTTGCAGCTCGGGCCGGGCTTCAGCAGTTGGTTAGGACCACTTGGCAGCACCCGGATCCCGAAACCCCAGGAAACAGTTCGCATGAGTGCAGTCTCCAGTCGCTGATACCCCAAAGTGACGGCAGTGATGGTCAGGGTCAGTGCGACATGGAGGCAGCACGCGACGAAGCGCACATAGTGTCGCTCGGCTTTGCGGAAACTGTCCGGCGTGTTACTAGATGATATTTGGGAGCGGTGACCCGGCCCAGGATTTTTGAGCTGGTTACGGAGCTGCTCAAGCGCACACGGGCCTAGTTCTCAGAGTATCGTGCGCACTGCAGCCAGCCCTCCAACTCGGACCACAAGCATGGCCAACATCCCAGAGCAGCTGCAGCAGTAGAAGAATCATCACTACCCTCGTCACCTCTGTCTTCTTCATGAAGTGGTGCTGGTTTCAGTCATTCATCAGCAGTCAACTAGTCAACTTGATCTTGCTGGACGATTTCGCTGCCCGGGTCCCGAGGTCAAGCCGCAGAAAATCGATTTTCTGATTATCAACTGCTCTCTGCCACAGCCTTAAAGGGCGCTGGCAACTGTGTCGTGCCAGACAATGGCAAACTACAGTGGATATCTTGCATGCACGTACTGTTGTTGTTCACGCATAACAATATAGTACTTGTGTACTAGTTGATAAGAGCAACAAGCACATATAACATAATAGCAACAACACCAGCAGCAGCAGCAGCAGCAGCAGCAGCAACTACAACGCCGACAACGACATCGACAGCCACAACGACAACGACAACTTCAACAAGATCCGCAACCACAATGACGACAACAATCATAACTATACTACTATTAACATAATTACTACTACTACTACTACCACCACCACCACCGCCACCACCGCCACCACCGCCACCACCGCCACCACCGCCACCACCGCCACCGCCACCGCCACCGCCACCGCCACCACGACCACGACCAC